TAACAAAAAAAAAAAGCATGTGAACTGTATCTAAACCTTACTTTTAGCAAAAAAATAAAAATATGTCACAAAAAATAAACTGCTTATAACGAAAACTAATGAAAAATATGAGGCAATTAACAGAAATCAAGCCCAAAAGAACCAAAAGAATTTTGGGTCGCTCCACCCCCAGTGCTACAGTTTAAGAAACATGTCCATTGATAACTGACAAGCAAATCTGTTAGTAAAAGAGCTGTTTTATTAATGTAGTGTGAAATTAAAATCTAATACAAATATAAAGTTAAGTCAGCCAATATTATTGGTCATTGGAATTTTTAGTCCCTTAAAATTGGTATCAGGTACAAAATTTTTCACATCGATCATGCTCTAAACGTTACAACCCTAACCAGTACCAATCAGCTAATCTGTTTAATCTTGTGATGCCTGGCCTTTCTGAACTGGACTTAAAAGTTTCATGAGAACCAGTAATTTATATACATCACAATACATTTCTGGTGTTAATTATTTTGCCCTGTACCAACTTCGGCAGTTTCATAAATGCTTAAACCTTTTATTTTCCTCATATAATGTCTGTTTTGATATCGTTAATCTTTTATAATACCCAATAATGCAATAGGTAACAGCAAAGGTCCCAAATGAATGTTGGCTGGATCCGGTTGTTCTCCAGTTTTCATGAGTTTAATTGCTCCACTTCAGTGTAATATCAGCACTTGCCAAATATTCAGCAGCTATCATAAACTGACGCATTTTTCAAAGCCCCCACGAACAGAACCATAACCATTATTTTGTTGATTATAGTTCGCATCTTTGCCGAAAAACCACCAGTTGACAGTACTTATACGCTGCACTACATTTATTTGTAATGATTTGTGTAAATGTCTTTTCAGTCTTATTCTCTTGTGTACTCTCATCAGGAGCTGTGGCACCCCAGAATAACAGCCTGCATTCTCTGTGGACCAGTTGAGATTTATTTCTGTGTGTGCGTGTGTGTCAATGTGCATACACATACGCAGCTGTGTGGGCGTCCGTGGGTGTGTGATTAAGCGGAGGCTTCTAGCTGCTGAGCGACTGTGTTCCTGCAGAAGAGAGAGGTCAGACCTGGCCACTAAAGGTACACTGAATCAGCTGAATGCTTTGTTGAATTCAGACAGGTATTCAAATGTGTCCAATCTCTTATTCCTCAGAATGTAGGCTATGTATTTCCTGTACATATCATGAGAAGTGATTTGCCTGTCCCATAACTGCTTTCTTTACTTCGTTCAAACAGACATGCTCATTTAAATAGGCTTCCTCTCCATTCACTAAAAGTAAAGGTACCAGAAAGCGTTCTTTGGAATGTTGCTACAGAAGAAGCCCTTTGCTTCCATCTTTCAATGGATGGTTCATTAACTGTTTATGTAAATGAGACGTGCAGGTGTAAAAAAGTGTGAAAATACTTATGAATAAAAATGCATAAATATGCTCTATACCTCTAATACCTCTAAACAATTATTTTAACAAAACACGATACATATCATAATGCTCAGTTCATCTAAAGTTTGATATGTTGGAAAAGAAAAAAGGATATTATTGCATATTATGCTAGTTAATCCAGTTAAACAGGACTAATTATGCTTTCTTTGTAATAAAGCATGCAGCTGGTCAGTTTGTAGGTGCTGATGATATCCACAATATGCTCAGAAAAGTGTACTGTAGCGTAGTTTATCACAGCAGTAATAAAATATTGTCATATTGCCCACCACTCCTGCACATAACGTAAAGGTTCAATGCCAATAAACCAATTAAACTATTTTTCTTAGAACTATACATTCAAGCCAAGCACCATTTGGGAAGCTTTCTTTTAAAGAGTTCTTGGTTCCAGCTCAAATGCTACTTAATCCTCTGCTAGTTGTATCTACTAAAACACAAAACTCATTAAAGAAGGAAATCCCAGAGTTGTAAAACTACTTGTTCACGCTGTACGTGTTGCAGCAGCTGTGAGTTCATTTGCTTGCAAGCAGCATTTGAAAAGGATCAAACGCTACGACATCAATTTGAGCCAAATCAATAGCAAGTTCTAGACATTTGCTTTTGGTCAAGTGCATTTACAACCATGTTTTGTGCAAGATCAAAGCCATCTCATCCATTTCAGAATCTGTCGTGTAAAAGAGACTAATGACCTGGGGTGATCACATGTAATCACTGGCCACAATCGTGTCCAGGGCTTGCCAAGGAGCACATCACATCTAAACGGCACAGGAAACAAACTACGTAGACAAAACACATTATATCATGACCATCTTTAACTCTAAGGTTGGTTTTGGTGCAACAGTAAAACTACTCTGCCAGGAGTCATCACTATTATCTCATTATGTGCCCACTGTCATTTCATAAAGGATGCGCAGCTGCAGATGATGAATGACGAAAAGAGCTGATTTGATTCAAGCGTAATACTCCTATGATACCTCTTCTAGAGTGCAGGTTGATTCACTGAGTAATCTGCATGAAAAGCTTTCATATCAAATTAGGGTTACCCACACATCTGACAATATTACCAGAGACACAGAGCTATGTCATTTTTCATTGATTCTTGACCATTCTCTTGTATATGCGCACATTCTATCATGTTCAGTCTAAATCGTTACAATGACCGTCTTCTGTCTAGAGACTGATCATTACTGCAACAGAGCCAAAAACTAAACCTGCTGATCAGAGAGCTGTTATCTCTCAGAGAAGTGAAAGACCGAAATTATGCCTTTCCCCAGCAGTGACATCAAATGACTGAAATAACAGCATGCAAAAGAAAAATAATGAATGACTGCCACAGCAGTTCTGTGTTATTTGTAAAAATCCATCAAAGTGTCTAGAGAATTGTATGTTTCTAGGGAAATGTTTTATATCATAATGAATGTGGTCAAGTCAAAGTTTGACTCTACATCTTCATGTTTGCCAACTATCTTTTACACTGAGGGCTGGTTTCCCAAAGCTAAATTAAGCCTAAGTCAAGACTAAACAGAATTCTGAACGGTTAAACACCACTGACAGTATAGATCAGATCAAGACTAACCTTAAAGGAACAGTTCAGAAAAAAATGCTAATTATGCAAGTAATGGATAAAAGCACAAGGCCACCAATAAGAACTATGAAAAGCACCTCATGCTGATGTGTGTTTACTGGCATCCACTCAGTTCTGGCTGAGTGAGCATGTTTTAAGCATGTTCTTTTTTTCTGGAAACTGACACTAAGATTACTGCGCTATCAATTTTAAGACAAAACGTACTGCTCTCAAAGAGTTAAGCCGAACGGAAACAAAACACCTCTCGAAACTCACACTTTGCAAGCGATTATAACCTACAGCATCTGGGCACTATTATGATGTAAAATAGGGCAGGGAGAGATGGCAGCATACCTTAAGTATGGTTGCGTCCAAAATCGCAATGCTATCAAACTAAATAGTACGTCATAACAGCACAGTGCCAACAGTAGTGCATTCAGTAGTGCAGTGTGTGCAGTATGATAGTATGCTGTTTTGAATATAGCCTATGGCTGTAAGTGAGGAAGGATCTAGCGTGCACAGTGCAACAGGCTGCTGTTCGTATGACTGCCATGAATCTGATGTGTGATAAAAGACATCACTATATGCAGCATTTCTGTCTTAATCCATGGAAAAAATGTAACAATTTGAATGAAACTATATTATAATATCTCCTATATATTACTATTACTTTATTCTTATAGTGGTATTTTCAGTATACATCTCTGATCTTTGGCCTTATTTGGCCAAATGAATGTCTTAAAGTGACTAACTGCCTACAAATAATAGTAAATAACAACATATTTAATTCTCATAGTGATATACTTAATGCATCTCTGACACTTTGCACGCCAGAAAGTGGCGCCTGCCTAAGGAGTACACAGGCTGATATTATCTCCACACGACACCATAACTGAGGGATATTTCACAAATAAACTGTTCCAACTAGCCAGATTAAACATCAAGACTGTCCAACAGGAGGTCAGGGGCATTCCTACTGGTCAGTTTTCACTTTTGGCTTAAAGGGAAACTTCACCGATTTTTCAAAATTTCTGCATAATTGGTAAACATGTAAAAGTCATTCAGAGTTATTGATGTGGAATGCTTCATTCTACAGAAACCAAGTCAGAATTGTTCACAGTGGTGGTGATAGGAACCAGCCACCCACCTCTGAAAGCTCCCTCACAGAAGGTTATTACATGAAATGGTTATGAATACACTGCCTGACGTCTGAGACACTGTTTTATGGTAGTTTTGTGATAAAGTTTTTGGTTTAAAACAAATTTTAATCAGTTTATTTCAACTCATTCATGGTGGAAAGATACAAGAAAGGTGAAGAAAATGTTTTTTTTCCAGATTGATCACACTCTTCACAAAGATGGTTCTTCAAGGGTTCTTTAGTAAAGACAGTGGTTCTATGTAGAACAATTTGCATGCTTAAATGGTTCTTTGCATGGTGAAAACGTTCTTCAGATTGATGGAAAATGTGTTGTATATGGTTCTACATAGGACATTTCTGAGAAGGGTTGTGCTGTTGTAAAAATGTCAAACTCGCAACAACAAAATAACTCTTTTTGGTGCTATATAGACAGAACCATTGTCTTTACTAAAGAACCCTTTAAGAACCATCTTTTCAAGAGTGCTCCTGGTTCTTATCACCACCACTGTAAAGAAATCTGAGTCTGGAAATTTCTCTACTATGAGCCACTTCACATCAAACCACTGAATGACAGTTTACATCTCAACGATTGACTTATTGAGAAATTTTGAACAATCGGTGGATTGCCCCTTTTAAGTTATCCAGCGTTATGGAGAACCCCTGCTTGGTAAAAATAACCCTGGACGCATTGCTGGGGACAGAAAGGGTCACTTATTCCAGCATTACCGACTTCGTGGCTATATTAAGGGGCCAAAAAACGACAAGCGCCTTCCAGGGTCAAGCTTGACCAGACCCGAAGTGTCCAAACGCGCGCTCGAGCTCACTCACCAGCTTGTCCAGGGTCTCCTTGCCGCCGGTGGACACCTTGGGCGCGGGGACGCGCTCGCATGTGCAGCCCTCGAGCAGATAGATGCCGGAGGGGCGCGCGCTCTGCTCCGAGTCGAAGTAGAAGAGCACGTTCTGGTAGAGGGCGAAGTACTTCTCGTGCCAGCGGCTGTTCTCGGTCGTCTTCTTGCTGAGGTAACCGCGCTTGGTGCCCTCCTTGCGCGCCACCACGGAGAGGTACAGAGCGTGGCCCTCATTGTAGCGGACGCTCTTCTGCATTTTCCCTTCTCCGTTCACTCCCGGGGAGGTGAGGGGGCAGTTTTCACCCGTTCACCATCACCCTCCTCACCCTCCGGTGTGTGCGCGCGAAGAGAAAAACGAACGAGCGACGAGTAGTAGCGGCGGCAGCTGAAGCAGTGCGCGCGCAGAGGAGTTGGCGAGCTTAGAGGAACCGTCGCGCGCAACTCAACTCATTCTCCCAACTTCACGGGCGACTTATCCGAATGAGTTTACCGTCCAGTCCATTTTGGCTCGGACTAAAACTTTCAGACTCACCGAAACAGAAAACCGCCTCCAAACTAAACTGCGCGTCTGTTTTCCCAGCGAGCCTGAACACACTGACAGAAGGCGAAACAGAATCACGGTTGCAGATGAGCAGTAAGCGGATTTGACAGCGTCTTAAAGAGACAGCGCCCCTTTTTAGCGCACAGCGCGCTTTCTACTCGCCTGGACTACGCTCCGCTTTTGCGCATGCGCCGCGCATCTCGTTGGCTTTGAAATAGTAGCGTGCGCTTCGCTCCGCCCACCAATGAGTACTGTACATTAAAGGGCAATTCCACCGATTTTTCAAAATACCTGCATAATTCAGTGATTGAGATGTAAACAATGTTATTCAGCGTTTTGCTTCAGTGTTTTCACATTATAGAGAAACTTACCAACTCTTTCACATAATTTCTTGTCAATGGACATGATGGGCATTGCGAGCCATTTTATTTACTGATTATTTACTCATTTTATTCACTACACGTCTTTTGAGTATTTATATGTAACGTTGATGATGCTAAAATAGTAGTAAATCTGGAAATAATATGTTTTGTTTTGGGGACTGTTTTGCCTTCTAACGCCCAGACATTAAATGTTTCTTACCTCTGGGTCCTTTCACCACCACTGTGAACAATTCTGACTCAAAGTTTCTTTAGAAAGGAGCATTTCACACCAAACAGTCCTGACTGACTTTGTTTACATCTTAATGATTTATTTATGCAGAATTTTCAAAAAATCGGTGCAATTTCCCTCATTCCCTTTAAGTAGAAATAACTTGTCAACATCTGATGATCATTAGTTGGTGGAGCAGGTTTAACACATACTTAAGTAAAAAATGTAACTGTTGAAATAACGATTAAAATAGAAGCACCTTTCCAACAGTGCAAAACTAGTAGGTCAAAAAACTTTAGATCGGAGTCATTTATACATCTACAGTGACACTTCTTAGTGCATCCAGCATCTACCAACAAAGGAACAGAAGTTTTTTTCTGCATTCTTGGTCTAAAATAAATGATAAACCTCAAAAATATAAAGAATTAGAAGTTAATTGCTAATGACAAAAAATGTAAACGGGGAAAATATACTTGAATAAAAAAGTAGGACTATGATCAAATACATGAACATTTTCTCAAATATGCCTAACTGAATAACTATAGTAACTACCCACCTTATAGTGCTGGGTACAATAACACTGCAAATGATTGACCTGAATTGACAGTTTAGTGTTAAATGAATATCATACATATCATACATTCCTTCAAGAAACTCTATCGAACAAAAAAAAAAATAGAAAATTCAGCAAATACGAGCAATCCAGCAGCTTCATCTGATCGCCGCTGCATTAAAACCATACTTTTTTAATATCAGTTGATAAAGGCCACTGTCCTTTTCACTGTGTGAACATTTCATAATTAAATGATTCAAAATAATTTGGAATAAAATCTCTCCATTTTTTTTCCTTTTCTTATAAAGTTACCATTTCAGAGATGTATTTTCAGTGAAATGTAGAAAAAAAATATTTAAAAAATCCAGATAGCATCACACTGCATGATAAACCAAACTTTACAGAAAGTGCTCAGCAGCTGGGCTTCATCACGTGTAGTCATCATCGTCTAAAAATGTGTGTTCATTCCACTAACTCCACTCACCAGACATCAGAGTTCATGACATTTGCCTATAACTGGCAGGCAATAAATGGTCAGGAAAGGCAGGAGTGTAGAATAACAGACCACTTGCATTTTTTTGGTCTAGACTACAGCGGCTGTATTTTTATTTTCTGCACACATTTCAAGTTACCTTGCTTAAACACTTTTCTTGTCTGTCCGTCTGTCACCACCTTGAGCTTAGCAACAAAGAGGAGAACAGATCCATGAAGCACCTGTGGAAAAACTGGTGATCTTTCTTTTTATGCACATTTTTCCTTCAGAGGGTTACTAAAAGTCCATGCACGCCTGGATTACGTGCAAGTATTTCAGGCAAAACCTTGCAAAGAAAACAGCGTAGGTTGAGTAGAGCAGCGAAAAGCCACTGCATATGCAGCAAGGATGGAGTGCGCTTCATGTCCTCAGTCCATCTGTTTACACTTTCCTGAAGAGCAATTATAATTCACCTCAGCTTTCACCTTGTGCCAAGCCAACAGCATGGCATTAAAGGCGCTGGAAGATTTATATGTTAAAATAGCACAAGGAAATCTTAGCGAATCAGCTGCAGTCATTCAGTCAGGCATCAGAGGTGGAGCCTTAATGCTTCTAAACAAAATTAAAAAACAGGCAATGGTGTAACTTTTACATAAGCTGTTTTTCCTCTTTCTCCTGAGTGCAGTGCAAAAATAAACAGGTTTGGTCAAATCTTATACTGATGAAGATACGATGACAATAGTAGATAATTCACTTAATCCATGGAAGACACATCTTTCACCAACTCACTTGACTGAGTTCTGTTTGAATAATTTTTCAACACGCTCTCAATCATCAGATGCATCCCCTCAGGGAGGGGGTCCAAAGCACTTTTGCTACATAATGTTCTTCTGTTGCATGTAATTACACATTTCCATATCCCCTAAACTTACATACTGTAGCTTTAATGTTGCAAGGTTTATGTTAAGAAAATGTTTATGGGAATGATATACTGAATAAAATCACACAAGACACAATGTTGGTCCAGCGACATTTGGAAGTTAAACAATTCTAAATAAATTGTTATGCTGCAGGCTACATGTAATGGTGTGCAAAATGATACCAGAATCATATCGGTATTAGCATATTAGAGAAAATGCAAATAAACATTAATACACTAAAATGCAAAATACAATTTTTGTCCCACAAAAAGTAGTTATCTTGTGAGCTAGTCTGAAAAAAAAAGTTTGGTTCCAGATTTCTCCTGGATGCCTCCAGCCGTCACAAAGATTTGTTAAATTCCAGCACCAGCAAGTTTGATTTAACACAAAGTATTGAGTAGCCAAACTAGGTGTTTGATGAAAACTACAAATTATATTATTACAGTTAGAAAAATGGTTCAACAAAACACTGAGATACGTAAAAATCACTGCTTAAAATATGAATGTTTTTGCATTTATTATAATTAGTGTATGTCTGTGCAAATAAACAGATAAACAACTTTTTAAATCTAATGCTCTCGTGTACCTACAACTTTTGCACAATATTATATATTACATTATTCTATCAGTCTGACATTTCAAACCATTTTATAATTAGACAGATATTTCAAACACAGAATTCAAATATTTGGTGATCCATATATTGCACTCTGTTTAGGTGATTCTGGGTTACTGTGCTAAAATATCTACATTTCATTAATTTTACTGCATTTTTAACCCTGCAGAAATAAATGTTATATTTCTTTGTAAATCTAGTCCATAGTCTAGACATAGTCTCAATTTCCACATTTTATAAATGTGTATGTACTGGCACCAACATCAATGTACATATCTAACAGCCGCCTTGATTCACAATTTCCTTATCAGTGCACCCTTATTATTAATTAGTAACAGAGATTTTAGGTGACTGATTTTGAACCAGTTAAGTAAACTGGTTCAAAATCAGTCACCCAACCAAGTAAACTGTTTGCTAATCTAAAAACTAATGTACAAATAACATTGTAATTGAAGTAACATATGCCCTGAATTGGCTTCTCTACTCTCTACGCCCTGACGTAAAAAAAAACCAGATAAATAAATAGATCAGACGTACAACAAATAAGCGATTCTAATTTAATTTGATTAAACATCATTTTTAACGACATTATTCTTTTTTCAGTCATTGTGTACACACCATTTTTCTGCACATCTTTTCTCAAGTGCACTAGTCCTACAATATAGCACCTTGAATCTTCCTACAAAAGAGAATAGATGGCTTTATGAATCCTTATGATAAAGGTCTAATGAGCAAAAGGTGGAGATGTTAATAGGATTCACAGCAGCAGCTCATAACTGTGAGGAGGGGAGATTAGCACAAACTGCAGTTTTTCACTAGCTTAGCACTCCCCTCATTAAAGGTTTAACTTTTTCCACTCGAGCAATGCTTCCCTGTTAGTGATTTTCCAGGCTTCAGATAGCAGCTTCACAGTTTTCCTAAAGAAAAACAAAGAAAAAGGGAGCAGTTAACTTTTTTGCTTCCCCTGTTTATTATAATTATAGTACAGTTGTTCATGGTATGGTAATTACACCTATCGGACTATAAGAGCTCAGCCTTCAGTTCAGGCCGTATAAAACATGGTCAAAAACAAGAAAAAAAAAAAAAATAATATCTGGCAGCATCTAATATGTTAGTGCAAAGCTAATTTTTGGCCATTCTAGATTAAACATTAATGTTTAAAGCTTGTAAAAGATATTCTGTGTTTTGGAGCTTCTAACATAATTTAACATGTAAACAGCAGTTTCACAGTGACTCCCTCAGTAAAGAGCCCTGACAGAGCTGCAGTTGCTGTATTTCTTTTCTAACAACTGACTGAAACCTGCTTAAACTATGACTTGTATTTACAATCAGTGACATATCTAGAACTTCCAGAAGGCCTAGAGTGACATTTTCTCTCACAAATCTAGTCCCACCCATTGGAAATCACAACATGATTGGTTGATTCCTTTCCACTGTCACTTTCTATTGTTAGCATTAGGCTTTCAGTTCAGCTCCTGAAGTCCCAACCAATGGGCGAGCTCATTTAGCTGTATCTACCTACACTACAGAGGGAAAAAAATTCTTGGATAAATTGGATATTTTCTGTTTTTCTGTTCTGTTTTTTTCCCCAAGATTTTAAGCCAAATGTTTTCCCATTCTTGTTTGATATAGGATTTCAGCTGCTCAACAGTTCAGGGTCTCCTTTGTTGTGTTTTTCATTTAATATTTCCCCAAATGTTTTCAGTGGATGATTTATCAGAACACTTCCCCTCAGCCCATTTTAAATGAGCTCAGGCCCAGAGAAGGTGGCAGCGTTTCTGGATCCTGTTTATATATGGTTTCTTCTTTGCGTTTGAGTTTTAATTAGCATTTGTGGATGCAGTGATAAACTGTTTTCACAGACAGTGGTTTTTAGAAGTGTTCCTGAGCCCAAGCAGTGATTTCCACTACACTTCATGTCTATTTTTAATGCAGTGCCA